AACCCCAACTTGACTTTGGTGACATCTTGGGCGCTAGATAACGGAAAGATCTGCATGACACAACAGGATGTATTCTGGCCCGCAAGTCAAAAAGTTAGCCCGTGCCTGAGTTAAACAAACCTGCTTGTCGATGACAGTAAGAAAAAAAAAAAGAGATAAGGTTAAAGTGAGGAAGAGTGTATCCTCAGTGCGCCATGGGAGTTTAGTCTAGGCTAGTGTAGTCTAGGCCTACAGAAAGATGACTAGATAGCCCGACATGGACTATCTATCTACAAAAGATCTATCTACTGTATTTCATTTTAACAAGACATACAAAGAGATTCGTCTAGGCTAGTGTAGTCTAGGCCTACAGCAGGATGACTAGATAGCCCTACATGGACTTTCTATCTACAAAAAAATCTATCTACTGTATTTCAGTTTAACAAGACATACAAAGAGATTCAAACCAAGATGTAGGCCTTACCTCGGCTTCTCACCGGTTTAAAAGAAAATCTGTGGGTCTTTTCTCTTTTTTTTTTTGTTTTGCGTCTTATCGGAGCTTTTGATTTCACCGCCTCTGGGTCTGTTTCCCTCTCGTCTGTTTCTTTCAGGTTTCCCTCTATCCAGTCTTTCCGTGTTGTTTGTGACCTACTGCGGTGTTCAGCTGGTGAAGGAGAGAGAGCGACAGCAAGCCCTGCGGGAGGACGACGAAAAAGCCGTAAAGGAGAAAGCAGAGTAAACGTAGAAGGAATTGATCAGACTTCAAGGTCAAGTCGAGAGCCTCCCGCACATTCTTCCATGCCAGACATGACATGAACTGAAAATGAAACAGACTGGTGCTCACGTGTTTAATGTTTCAAATAACTGCAATTCAACTTACTGTAGATGATCACCAGAACCTCTGGCACAAAACCACCATAAGTGCATTATCCCTCTGTGGAAAATATGATTTTTTAATTAAATATAGGTCTAATGTGGCCCGCGAGTCTAACGTTTGCCCACACCTGTTCTAATAATAAAGGTTTAACGCCACTGTAGTGTAATATATAGGCGTTTTCATTTTTAAAGATATGGAATATATTTATAGTTTTCTTTACATACCTCCACTCATCGAAATCAAACTGCACTGCAAGGTTGACCACTACTGAACAAAAAAAAAAAAAAAAAAAAAAAAAAAAAATCAAAGATGAAGAAAAATCAATGTCTATCTACTGTCAAACCTTCAATAATATTTACTAATTTACCTCCTGTTTACCTTTAGAAAATTGGATGTACGTTTACATTTTCTTACATAAAGACAATAATAGTTAAACTGTCATTAAAGAATGTTGTCATCCTTATTTACGTATTTTGTGCGGGGGGGTCAGAAACCACAGGACAAACCAGAGGAGAGGTTAGTATCTGAGGTGTCACGTAAAAATACTGCATTTTGCCGAAGCGGGTACTGACGAAATATATTTAACGAGTATTATAATACTACTAGGATTTTTTTTTTTTTTGAGGAGTTTGACTCGGAATAAAGACATGTTCTTCTCCTCTTCTCCTGCAATCACAAGTTTCTGTTGATGTGAAAACACAGGAATAGAAGAAAGTGTGTTTTCATCGACATCGGATTTTAATCAGAAATCATTTTAATGTCATATAAAATAAAACGGTGTTATAAAAAAATGAATTAAAGGGTATATTAAACGTTTTTTTAATTTGATCAAAATCGGACGCTAAGTAAAACAACAAGTCTGGGAATTGACATTCTCTTTGAGTTCATTCTATATTTAAATATCACGACGAAAATTCCAATCGTTCGTCATTTACCTGGACGGCCACTATCAGTGATGATGTACAGTTAAAAAAAAAAATTTTAAAATAAAAACAGAAAAAGAATAACAGCCAACTGTTGAATTCAATAAAAACAGAAAAAGAATAACAGCCAGTTATTGTGTTGAATTGTGATTGATGATCCAATCCAAATTAAGTTGGATCATTTTCCGCAGTTAGTTTTGATGATGTCACAGCATAGAGCAAGGGTGTCAGACTAATGTTCTTGGAAAAGGCCGGTTGTAATTGGTAGACCCTATAGCTGTGACTACTCCATAATGTATTAATAAATGTTTATGAAATCGATTATTATTTATTGACGTTACAAATTCTATACATTGCTCTGTGTGATAAAAAAATGTATTAACAGATAAAGATAAAGAAACTCAGCAACATGGACTATATTAAAAGGCAATTAAACACTTCTAAAACTCCAAGAGGCTACACAAAGTGGAACTGCCTTGAGTTTGACACGTGGCACAGAAAGCACACATGTGCAAACTCAGGCCCGCGGGCCAAATCTGGCCCACAGCGTAATTATATTTGGCCCACGAGATCATATCAAATGTGTACTAGAGTTGTCCTGCCAGTATATAGCCACTACATATTGGCTAAATTTATAGTATTAGCAGTATTTTTTTTTTTGTCGTTGGCCAAATATTTACATTAAAAAGAAACCCAACTCAAGGCTACAGATAAGGAGGCGATAAGAAACAAATACCACTTATGTGTGTTTTATTTCAAATTTAATTCGTTTTTTTTTTTTCCATTCTCATGTGTTTATAATACTACGCTAAGTTTGTTTCCATCTGAAAAATTCTACGTTACATACATCTGGAGAGAAGGGAAAACATGCACAATTGCAAATGTCAATTTTTCAATAACTATTAGGTTTGGCTTGCGACTTTGTCCCAATTTTCAATAAATATTAAGTTTGGCTTGCGACTTTGGCGTCCCAATTTTTAATTTTGGCCCACCGTGAATTTGAGTTTGACACCCCTGGCGTAGAGGTTGGAAATCAGTGTTATGTAGGGGTCGGTTATTGTTAAGTTATTGTTCATCGCATGGCAATGCTGTTGGCCACATGGAAGCCCATGGAAGTTCTTAGTTGGAGTCTGTGTAATGCGGGCTTCATCTGTTCACCTAGTTCTATAAATACCCACCAGTGAGTGACAGCAACAGACAGCTGCAGCCCGGCAGCCAACCATCCGGTCTGTTTAGGTCATCCGCCGCCATCTGAGCAGCCCTATTGACTTCTCTGCTCTGTTGTGGTGGAGTGAAACCAGCGAGTGAGTGAGTGAGACCACGAGACCCCGAGCGACACCAGAACGCCGAAGAAAATGGCTGCCGTCAACATAGATCCGATGGAGCAACCTCGAATGTACCAACAGACGCTGCTACAGGACGGACTCTGCGATCTGTTGGAGAATGACAAGTTCGTGGACTGTGTCCTCAAGATCAAGGACAAGGAATTCCCGTGCCACCGCTTGGTTTTGGCAGCAAGCAGCCCGTTCTTCAAGGCCATGTTGCTGTCCGACATGGAGGAGAGTAAGAAACATCAGATTGTCCTTAAAGACGTAGATCCAGGTGTTATGGGGGTGATCCTGCGCTACCTGTATACCTCCGACATTACTCTGACGGAACAGAATGTCCAGGATATTTTCATTGTCGCCAACATGTATCAGATCCCGTCTATCTTCTCCGTGTGCGTGTCGTACCTTCAGGAAAAGCTCGTGCTGGGAAACTGCTTAGCTATCTTCAGACTGGGGTTGCTCTTGGACTGTCCCAGCCTCACTCTGGGTGCTAGAGACTTTATCTGTGAACGTTTCCAGGTTGTGATCAGGGACCCTGACTTCCACCAACTGAGTCCTAGCGAACTGGCCATTATTATCACCTCAGATGCCCTTAACATCAAGCGCGAAGAGCTGGTTTTCGAAGCCCTAATGGACTGGGTCAAACATGACGAGACGAGTCGAACAAAGGATCTGCCGGAGCTGCTGCACTGCATCCGTTTTAGGCTGATGCCTGTGGATTACTTCAACGAAAACGTCGAACGCCACCAGTATATCAGGTTCAGTCAGGAAGTCAAGAAGGAACTGGATCTGGTCAGGGATGCTCAAAAAGGACGTTTTCCAAAACCCAAGAGGCAAGACCGCGTAGGATCAAAAGGTCGAGAAGGATCCGAAAATGATGAAGAAAGGGACGAGGAGGAAGGATACCTGCCTGGGATTCTCAACAACAACCTACGGTTTGGGATGTTTGAGATGGACCTAATTCTAATGATCAGTGACACGGGGACTGTGGCATACGACCCGGTAGGTAACGAATGCTTCGTGGTGTCAGAATCAACGGAAATTCCTAAAAACCACTGCAGCCTGGTCACAAAGGAGAACCAGGTATTTGTGGTTGGAGGCCTTCTGTACAACAAGGACGACCAAGATGAACCCTTCAGCTCTTATTTTTTACAGGTAGACCACCACTTACTCTCTAAAACAGGCCTGGGCCACAATTATCCTAAAGAAACATATATTAATACAACCGTCCACAAATGTCTGAATTTTTTTTTTCATGGACCAGTAAATAAAACTAAGACCAATGAAAAACATCGCTCAGAAACGGATAATAAATAAAACGGAAAATTCGTTATGCATTCTTTCTGTGCGGCCTGGGACCAACTGACCCACGGAATGGTGCGAATAAAACTAAGACCAATGAAAAACATCGTTCAGAAACAGATAATAAATCAAACGGAAAATTTGTTATGCATTCTTTCTGTGCGGCCTGGAACCAACTGAGCCACGGACTGGTGCGGGTCCGGGACCCGGGGCTTAGGGACCACAATCTTACATTAATACATTATGGAGTACTTAAATCTATACAGTCTTAGTTACAACTGTACTGCTGATGTTGCCCCCCCCATGCTCTAAAACATCTACCGTCAAGTCCTACAAAGTGCTTGTTTATCTGACATTTCTTTGATTATTATTATTATTATTATTTTTCTCAACCAGCTTGACCCGGTGAGTTCAGAATGGTTAGGGATGCCGTCGCTGGTCAACCCTCGCTGCCTATTTGGATTAACAGAAGCTGGAAACTCGATATATGTGGTTGGAGGAAAAGAACTGAAGGAAGGTGAACATGCCCTGGATTCAGTCATGATCTACGACAGACAGTAAGTACAGACCATAAAGCACGTGTAGGACACTGTACTGGAGCTACCCTGTGGCCGAAACGTGAAGGTTAATGATACAACGCACAAAAGGAAGTGCGGCAAAACGTTTAGGGGCGATTCATATTGTCATTTCCTGTCATGCTGTATCAGCTTTTTTCAACTCAATGGGATAATCATTTGCATAATTTTTTGGAGGTTTAACCTAAAAAAGAAAGAAATAAAACATGACTCGCTCAGTAGAACGTTTACCGATGTTGAAAATAAGGCTGTCTAAATCTTCCATAGATTGGATTTACGCAAGGTTACATCACACTTAGTGTCGCCTCTGTGGGTTCAGGTGCGGCTATGTCTGTTACATATACACACGTAACATGTTACATATCTTTAAAAGCGTTTCAAATACAAGCATTTCAATAATTGGAATTAAAAATATATAAATCATTTTTCCTACCAAACTAATGAGTGAAGTCTACCTCTAAATGTCTATTTTATGCATACATTTGCTTTGTTTCAAGGTCATTCAAATGGGGAGAATCTGATCCTCTGCCATATGAAGTCTACGGCCATGGGACGGTGTCACACAATGGTCTGGTCTACGTTATTGGAGGAAAGTCTCAGAGCAAGTATGTGAAAAGCAATATATTTATAAAAAATATTTAAATATAAAATATCTATCCATCCATCCATCTATCTATCTATCTATCTATCTATCTGTTTATCTATCTGTCTATCTATCTATCTATCTATCTATCTATATCTATCTATCTATCTAATCTATCTATCTATCTATCTATCTATCCATCTATCTATCTATCCATCCATCTATCTATCTATCTATCTATCTACCTATCCATCTATCTATCTATCTATCTATCTACCTATCTATCTATCTATCTATCTATCTATCTATATCTATCTATCTATCTAATCTATCTATCTATCTATCCATCTATCTATCTATCCATCCATCTATCTATCTATCTATCTATCTATCCATCCATCCATCCATCCATCCATCTAATCTATCTATCTATCTGTCTATCTGTCTATCTATCTATCTGTCTATCTATCTATCTATCTATCTATCTACCTATCTATCTATCTATCTATCTATCTATGCTGTACTGCTGCTGGAGCTTAAATTTCCCAAAGGGAACTCCAGAGGGAGCTCCATTTATCCACAGCATATTTTGAGGTGTTGTGTCTCGGCAGACAGTTTACAGATTAACATCTGTGTAATGTCCTGCCTATAACATCATTATAGACAGAACAGGGTTACAAACATTAGGATGGACAGAAAACACACATACAGGAGTTTCCATGGAATAATTCTAGGTACAGTGATTAGTTATCAGTAAATGATTCATTACACTCACTCTGTCACTTGTTTTCATTCAGAAAATGTTTAAGAAGAGTCTGCGTATACAATCCCTCTAAGTTTGAATGGAAGGATCTAGCACCTCTGAAGACTGCCCGCTCCCTGTTTGGTATCGCAGTCCACAATGACCAGATTTATGTGGTGACAGGGGTCACTGACGCAGGCCTTACCAACTCTGTGGAAGTCTATGATATTAACACCAACAAGTGAGTCAAAAAAAAAAAAAAAATCTCTTTGTCACAAGGTAAGATATAACCTCAACATGTCAACATGGATGAAATGACTCACTAAGTATAAATAGCAGATCGCTAGGTCCTTAACTAGCACTCATTTTCCAGCTTTCTGCATCATACATTATATAGTAGCTTATATAACTTATAATAATTAATTTTCCGGACAATAAGTCGCAATAAGTTGTCTTGTCTTTTTTTCCTCCTTTGGGTGGGTTTGCGACTTATACCCAGGCGTGACTTATATATTAAAATATATAATTTCACGTTTGTTATTTTTACACTAAAAGCCGCTAGAGGGCACTCTAGGCTTGTGTACCATTATCTGCCACTCCTGCACCACTGAAAATTCATGTTCGTTTTTTTCACACTGACAGGCGCTAGAGGGCACTCTAGGCTTGTGTACCATTATCTGCTACTCCTGCACCACTGAAAATTCATGTTCGTTTTTTTCACACTGACAGGCGCTAGAGGGCACTCTAGGCTTGTGTACCATTATCTGCTACTCCTGCGCCACTGAAAATTCACTTTCGTTTTTTTCCACACTGACAGCCGCTAGAGGGCACTCTAGGCTTGTGTACCATTATCTGCTACTCCTGCAACACTGAATGTTTTGCATGTTCGTTATTTCCACACTGACAGCCGCTAGAGGGCACTGTAGGCTTGTGTACCATTATCTGCTACTCCTGCAACACTGAATGTTTTGCATGTTCGTTATTTCCACACTGACAGCCGCTAGAGGGCACTGTAGGCTTGTGTACCATTATCTGCTACTCCTGCGCCACCGAAAATTCACGTTCGTTTTTTTCCACACTGGCAGCCGCTAGACGGCACTGGTGCGACCTATAGTCCGTAGCAATTTATATACGTTTTTTTGTTCTTCATCATTATGCATTTTTTGTCTGGTGCGACTTATACTCCAGAGCGACTCATGGTCCAGGAAAATAGGGTACACATTTTTTCATCTCTGTAAATGCTTAATTACTGGTCTGTTGTGTGCTCCAGGTGGTCAGAGTTTACAGAGTTCCCTCAGGAGCGAAGCTCCCTCAATCTGGTTTCACTGGGAGGTTTCCTTTACGCTGTGGGAGGATTTGCCATGATGGCCAATGAAAGCAGTGAGGTCCCTGCGCCTACGGAGATGAACGATATCTGGAGGTAACAGCCCCGTAATGTTACAGCTGGTACTCACTAAACACGTCCACTCGAAGTTACGACGGGGAATTTGGTTTAGCGACAAGGAATTGCTGTTACGGCGAGTGGACAGCAGGTGGTGTTAGAGAGTACATACATACAGTATGTAGGCGCGTACCCAGCGTAGTGATATACGAGATTTTGCACTTACCCAGCGTAGTGATATACGAGATTTGGCACAACTAAGGGCAAACTAAGGCCCGGGGGCCGGATGCGGCCCGTTTAGCTTTCTAATCCTGCCCGCCAAACTTTTCCAAATGATATAATTTATCTATATCTTTATTTATCC